GGTGTGATGTTATAGTCCCTTGGGAAGGGTGTGATGTTATAGTCCCTTGGGAAGGGTGTGATGTTATAGTCCCTTGGGAAGGGTGTGATGTTATAGTCCCTTGGGAAGGGTGTGATGTTATAGTCCCTTGGGAAGGGTGTGATGTTATAGTCCCTTGGGAAGGGTGTGATGTTATAGTCCCTTGGGAAGGGTGTGATGTTATAGTCCCTTGGGAAGGGTGTGATGTTATAGTCCCTTGGGAAGGGTGTGATGTTATAGTCCCTTGGGAAGGGTGTGATGTTATAGTCCCTTGGGAAGGGTGTGATGTTATAGTCCCTTGGGAAGGGTGTGATGTTATAGTCCCTTGGGAAGGGTGTGATGTTATAGTCCCTTGGGAAGGGTGTGATGTTATAGTCCCTTGGGAAGGGTGTGATGTTATAGTCCCTTGGGAAGGGTGTGATGTTATAGTCCCTTGGGAAGGGTGTGATGTTATAGTCCCTTGGGAAGGGTGTGATGTTATAGTCCCTTGGGAAGGGTGTGATGTTATAGTCCCTTGGGAAGGGTGTGATGTTATAGTCCCTTGGGAAGGGTGTGATGTTATAGTCCCTTGGGAAGGGTGTGATGTTATAGTCCCTTGGGAAGGGTGTGATGTTATAGTCCCTTGGGAAGGGTGTGATGTTATAGTCCCTTGGGAAGGGGGTGATGTTATAGTCCCTTGGGAAGGGTGTGATGTTATAGTCCCTTGGGAAGGGTGTGATGTTATAGTCCCTTGGGAAGGGTGTGATGTTATAGTCCCTTGGGAAGGGTGTGATGTTATAGTCCCTTGGGAAGGGTGTGATGTTATAGTCCCTTGGGAAGGGTGTGATGTTATAGTCCCTTGGGAAGGGTGTGATGTTATAGTCCCTTGGGAAGGGTGTGATGTTATAGTCCCTTGGGAAGGGTGTGATGTTATAGTCCCTTGGGAAGGGTGTGATGTTATAGTCCCTTGGGAAGGGTGTGATGTTATAGTCCCTTGGGAAGGGTGTGATGTTATAGTCCCTTGGGAAGGGTGTGATGTTATAGTCCCTTGGGAAGGGTGTGATGTTATAGTCCCTTGGGAAGGGTGTGATGTTATAGTCCCTTGGGAAGGGTGTGATGTTATAGTCCCTTGGGAAGGGTGTGATGTTATAGTCCCTTGGGAAGGGTGTGATGTTATAGTCCCTTGGGAAGGGTGTGATGTTATAGTCCCTTGGGAAGGGTGTGATGTTATAGTCCCTTGGGAAGGGTGTGATGTTATAGTCCCTTGGGAAGGGTGTGATGTTATAGTCCCTTGGGAAGGGTGTGATGTTATAGTCCCTTGGGAAGGGTGTGATGTTATAGTCCCTTGGGAAGGGTGTGATGTTATAGTCCCTTGGGAAGGGTGTGATGTTATAGTCCCTTGGGAAGGGTGTGATGTTATAGTCCCTTGGGAAGGGTGTGATGTTATAGTCCCTTGGGAAGGGTGTGATGTTATAGTCCCTTGGGAAGGGTGTGATGTTATAGTCCCTTGGGAAGGGTGTGATGTTATAGTCCCTTGGGAAGGGTGTGATGTTATAGTCCCTTGGGAAGGGTGTGATGTTATAGTCCCTTGGGAAGGGTGTGATGTTATAGTCCCTTGGGAAGGGTGTGATGTTATAGTCCCTTGGGAAGGGTGTGATGTTATAGTCCCTTGGGAAGGGTGTGATGTTATAGTCCCTTGGGAAGGGTGTGATGTTATAGTCCCTTGGGAAGGGTGTGATGTTATAGTCCCTTGGGAAGGGTGTGATGTTATAGTCCCTTGGGAAGGGTGTGATGTTATAGTCCCTTGGGAAGGGTGTGATGTTATAGTCCCTTGGGAAGGGTGTGATGTTATAGTCCCTTGGGAAGGGTGTGATGTTATAGTCCCTTGGGAAGGGTGTGATGTTATAGTCCCTTGGGAAGGGTGTGATGTTATAGTCCCTTGGGAAAGGGTGTGATGTTATAGTCCCTTAGGAAGGGTGTGATGTTATATTCCCATTGGAAGAGTGTGATGTTATAGTCCATTGGGAAGGGTGTGATGTTATAGTCCATCGGGAAGGGTGTGATGTTATAGTCCCTTGGGAAGTGTGTGATGTTATAGTCCCTTGGGAAGGGTGTGATGTTATTGTCCCTTTGGAAGGGTGTGATGTTATAGTCCCTTGGGAAGGGTGTGATGTTATAGTCCCTTGGGAAAGGGTGTGATGTTATAGTCCCTTGGGAAGGGTGTGATGTTATATTCCCATTGGAAGGGTGTGATGTTATAGTCCCTTGGGAAGGGTGTGATGTTATAGTCCCTTGGGAAAGGTGTGATGTTATAGTCCCTTGGGAAGGGTGTGATGTTATAGTCCCTTGGGAAAGGTGTGATGTTATAGTCCCTTGGGAAGGGTGTGATGTGGAGTGTTGATAGCATCACTGAAGTAATAGCTCATTGTATTGATTTGTAAGTTTTCATAGGAGAATTTTCTCCCCACAGCATTTTCTATTTGTTGATCAGCAGCATTAATCTCTAATTATACTGCTGAATGATTAAACACAGGCCTGACAGTCAGTTAGGAAGTGTACCAGCAAACGTTACTCTGAAGTGTTATTAATGGAGCATTAACCAGGATTTCTTAATAACGGTCGGTTTAATTACCATAGCTGTTTTATAATCAGATCAATAATGTTTATACAGTGGGTAGAGAAAATTTGAAATGTTTGGGATGTGTAATTACAATAATTAAGAAGAATGTTTATAACCACAGGTATAAGTATACATAAAGTACAGGTAGTGTGTTTGACCCCTGCTAGAATGTAACTGATGGTTTCTGTATTCTCTTAAATATAAATAGATTTTATCTCAATTAAGGGTTGCAGTTTGTATGATAAGCATACATATTTCAGTAGTCAGTCTTATTGATTAATGTAGAACTTCTTTACTAACTTGTAGTGTTAACCTCATACTGTATTAAATACAGTTCAGTGCCAATTCTCTAAAAGTGCCCTCTCCCTTGTTCCATACCTGTGAAAGGTAAGTGCCCTCTCCCCTGTTCCATACATGTGAAAGGTAAGTGCCCTCTCCCCTGTTCCATACCTGTGAAAGGTAAGTGCCCTCTTCCCTGTTCCATACCTGTGAAAGGTAAGCGTCCTCTCCCCTGTTTTATACATGTGAAAGGTAAGTGCCCTCTCCCCTGTTCCATACCTGTGAAAGGTAAGCGCCCTCTCCCCCGTTCCATACCTGTGAAAGGTAAGTGCCCTCTCCCCTGTTCCATACCTGTGAAAGGTAAGTGCCCTCTCCCCTGTTTCATACATGTGAAAGGTAAGCGCCCTCTCCCCTGTTTCATACCTGTGAAAGGTAAGTGCCCTCTCCCCTGTTTCATACATGTGAAAGGTAAGTGTCCTCTCCCCTGTTCCATACCTGTGCAAGGTAAGTGCCCTCTCTCCTTTTCCAGACCTGTAAAAAGTTAAGTTATTTAAAATATGCATTGTACATACAATTTGTCTGTTTTTAAGTATTACCATAAGTCTTGATATCATTGTCATATTCTAACATGGAATGTCTAATTCCTTCTAGCATTTAAATGATGTTAACTTTCCCCTATAAGTATTACTGTGGCTTTGTTAGTGTTTCAGGACAAAGTACACCCAGATTTCCCTTGATACATGGCCTGTAGGTTCACCTCCCATACACACTACATTACATTGTCTGCTGGATTGCTTTTTCCAGAACAGTATTTCAATGTTCTCCAATGAAAAGTGCAGTCCACTTAATCATGGTCGTCCCCAGACTGATGGTGTAAACAACTAACAAGCCTCAATTTGAATTATGCATGTTTTCAATACTGATCATCAATGTGAAAATGTGCCATTGTGTGTGTATATATATATATGCTACATTTATTTTGTTTCTCATCTTCACCCCAAGTCCATGAAAGCATCCAAAAATGTTAAATTAAACAATGAACAATTGGAAAAACCAAAATAAGTCCTGTAAAATTCATTGACCAAAATTGTTTAGGGCATTCCTTAGACATTAGTTTTACATTTTGTTGTCACCTGGTGGTCACTAGACAATAGTTTTGTATTTTTTGGTCACCTGGTGGTCACTAGACAATAGTTTTGTATTTCCTGGTCACCTGGTGGTCACTAGACAATAATTTTGTATTTCCTGGTCACCAGCTGGTGGTCACTAGACAATAATTTTGTATTTCCTGGTCACCTGGTGGTCAGTAGACAATAATTTTGTATTTCTTTGTCACCTGGTGGTCAGTAGACAATAGTTTTGTATTTTTTGGTCACCTGGTGGTCTCGAGACAATAATTTTGTATTTCTTTGTCACCTGGTGGTCACTAGACAATAGTTTTGTATTTTTTGGTCACCTGGTGGTCAGTAGACAATAGTTTTGTATTTTTTGGTCACCTGGTGGCCACTAGGCAATAGTTTTGTATTTTTTGGTCACCTGGTGGTCACTAGACAATAGTTTTGTATTTTTTGTCACCTGGTGGGCACTAGACAATAGTTTTGTATTTCTTTGTCACCTGGTGGTCACTAGAAAATAGTTTTGTATTTCTTTGTCACCTGGTGGTCACTCGACAATAATTTTGTATTTCTTTGTCACCTGGTGGTCACTAGACAATAATTTTGTATTTCTTTGTCACCTGGTGGTCATGCACTAGACAATAGTTTTGTATTTCTTTGTCACCTGGTGGTCACTAGACAATAATTTTGTATTTATTTGTCACCTGGTGGTCATGCACTAGACAATAGTTTTGTATTTCTTTGTCACCTGGTGGTCAGTAGACAATAGTTTTGTATTTTTTGGTCACCTGGTGGTCACTAGGCAATAGTTTTGTATTTTTTGGTCACCTGGTGGTCACTAGACAATAATTTTGTATTTCTTTGTCACCTGGTGGTCACTAGACAATAGTTTTGTATGTTTTGGTCACCTAGTGGTCACCAGACACTATTTTTACATTCGTTTGTCACCCTAGTGGCTACTTGACAATACAATCCTTGACCGCCTACAGTTAACAGGACTAGCCTTCCTGTGCCATATCTTCACTCATGTGGTGGCCAGCAGCATCAACCCGGCTGACCCAGCCGTGCTGAGGATACAAAATGGAGGGGAAGAGTTTGACCGCAACAAGCACCGCCATGTCATAGAGAACATGCATTGCTACATCTGTGATGCCGATGTGTAAGTCTGGGGCATCTATACAGGAAATCGCTGTAGAACCTTGCTTTATAGGGGTTGTCATAGAGAACATGCATTGCTACATCTGTGATGCTGATGTGTAAGTCTGGGGCACCTATACAGGAAATCGCTAGAGAACCTTGCTTTATAGGGGTTGGATCCCAAGTAATATTTGGTAAATAGTGATGCAGCATTTGCAATTTTGTTGAAAAATGTTGACAGTCACACTTGTACTTTATTTTATTTTTTTCATATTTGTGCTTTTCAGGGGATCGCGGTCAAAACATTGCAGCGCCTGTAATAAATGTGTCAATGATTTCGACCACCACTGTAAATGGCTGAACAACTGTGTGGGAGGCAGAAACTACAAGTAGGTGTACAACTGTGTGGAAGGCAGAAACTACAAGTAGGTGTACAACTGTGTGGGAGGCAGAAACTACAAGTAGGTGTACAACTGTCCCCATATGTGTGTGTGTGAGTGTGGGTATTTGTGGGAAAACATTTTCACAGTCCATTAACTGTGAATTTCTATATGTTATACTCCACAGAGACCTAAATGGCTTTAATGCGGAGTTAATAAGTTGGGAGGGGGCAGAGAAAGCACATGTCACTGTCCAGTAAAAGCATACAGTGGCAGGTGTGGATTATAAACCACAGGTATATATTTGTGTTCAATGATTGGGTTGTTTATGTGAGAATGGAACATTTGTAACATTAGATGTAACAATGCAGGGACATTCAGAATAATTAATCAGTAGAGGATGATCAATGAGTTTGTTTTTGACAGGTGGTTCCTACAGGTGCTGGTCACCGGTGTCGTCGGTATCTTCTTTATACTGGTCGTCACACTGGTGGAGATCGTAGCCTACAGTTCAGACGCCGAGACGGGGAACATCTTACAGCCATATATAGGTAGGCGCTGTAACAGTAACACAACTCTACTCCTGTCAATCTTGTTAAATATTTTGTTTTAGACAAATATTCTAACAAAGATCTAGTGTTTCTATTTGAAAAAAATACTATAATTATAACTGTTCAAATTCATCACATGATTATACAATAATTGATATTTTGTGTTGTCATTTCAGATGTAAAGAATAATGTAACAAGTGAACCAGGTAGGTAGGACCTGTCTCAGGACGGGAGTAAATATCAGTAAAGGAGAAAGTTTATTGTGTATATTTTCATCACAGTTTTATTTTTAAAAATATCTGTGAATATTTTTTTTTTAATCACCACAAGATTTAAACATGATTAATTGATACATATAGATTCAAGCTGAGAAACTTTGGATGAAGTATGTTTGTGTTTGTAGTGTTCTACTTGGTGTACCAGCCTGTGCCAAAGGGAGGCTTCCTGGCCGTCCTCATCATCACCGGTATACTCCTCTTCCTGGGACTGGCTCTACTACTCCACCTCTTTGTGTTCCACTGTTACCTCAGTGAGTATACTGGTTTTATTAGCTTTGCTCAAGTGACCTATTCTGATCGCTTTTCGTCTGTCGTCGTATGTAAACTTCTTATATTTTTGGCTTCTTCTCTAGGACCAATGAATGGATTTCCACCAAAATTAGTAGGGATTCCTGCACCATCCCTACCGGGCTAGGGCAGATCCCCAAAGGGAACATTAACCAATATTTCAAAAGTCTTCTTCTCCAGATTCAGACGTACTACAATCAATTTTTCCCCATGGATTGAAAGATCATCAGGGGCTTTATATAAATTGAAAATTTCATTACCCCGGACTATCCGTTCTTCCTTGGGAAAGGGGTCAAGTTGACGATAGTTTATGTAGGGAAATAACACTTTTTGGTATATTTTGTCCATTTCCAGCAGAAAATTATTCAAACTTTGTCAGAATAATCTTTGCTGTAAGTGGGTATTAAATTGCAAAATTGGGACTCCTGTCCCATCCCCAGGGGCTAGGGCAGGGTCTGAAAGGGTATATTAATCAATATTTCAAAAGTCTTCTTCTCAGATTAATATGTACAACAATCAAATTCTGTGCATGGATGGCAGGGACTTTATCTATTTTTCAATTTCATTACCCCTTGACCGTCCATTTTCGCTTGGGGAGGGGGTTAAGTTTACTTTAGTTTATATAGGGAAATATCACTTTGGGGTACATTTTGTCCATTTTCAGCAGGGAGTTATTCACACTTGGTCGGAATGATTATGATGCTAGATGGCAGTTAGATGGTATGAGAAAATAAGATCTTGTCCCATCCGCAGGGGCTGGAGGGCTGGGGCCCAAATGGGGAAATGGTTAAAAGTTAAAAAAATCTTCTTCATCAGACTCAGATGTTTACAATCAAATACTCTTCATGGATAGAAAGGTTCTTAGGTGCTTTATGAAAAGTTTCTTGTTACACAACCAGTAAGTGTTTGTTTCTATGTAATGTTTCGATGACTAGTATGGTATGTACTCTGTACATTTATGACCAATAAACAAAGCGTAGCTGAATCAAGTCATTTCGTACTTATATAACAACTATTGTCCATATGCATGCATTTTACACCTTTGTGTACATACGCTTCACTGGTCATTTGTCTGATGAGGATGACAGTGTACATACGCTTCACTGGTCATTTGTCTGATGAGGATGACAGTGTACATACGCTTCACTGGTCATTTGTCTGATGAGGATGACAGTGTACATACGCTTCACTGGTCATTTGTCTGATGAGGATGACAGTGTACATACGCTTCACTGGTCATTTGTCTGATGAGGATGACAGTGTACATACGCTTCACTGGTCATTTGTCTGATGAGGATGACAGTGTACATACGCTTCACTGGTCATTTGTCTGATGAGGATGACAGTGTACATACGCTTCACTGGTCATTTGTCTGATGAGGATGACAGTGTACATACGCTTCACTGGTCATTTGTCTGATGATGGTGACAGTGTACATACACTTCACTGGTCATTTGTCTGATGATGGTGACAGTGTACATACACTTCACTGGTCATTTGTCTGATGATGGTGACAGTGTACATACACTTCACTGGTCATTTGTCTGATGATGGTGACAGTGTACATACGCTTCACTGGTCATTTGTCTGATGAGGATGACAGAGTACATACGTACTAGCCATGGAAACGTCACATAGAAAGTGAAACACTTATTGGTTGTGTAACAAAAAACTTTTCATAATCCATATTTTCCAACCTGAAGAAAATGTTTAGAAAGGTACTAAGGTGCATTATTTACCCCCCAGGTCACCTGCTCTCCCTTTGGAAGCGGGTAAAGTTTAATGTTGTTTATATAGGTATAGCACTTTTGATATATTTCGTCTAATCTCGGTTAGAAATTATTCAAACTTGGTTGGAATAATTGTAATCAGATGGCAATTAGACAGTATGAAAAAAAAAGATCTGTCCTTGCCCCAGGGACTGAAGGGATGGGGCCAAAAAGGGGAAATGGCTGATATTTCAAAAATCTCTGCACTCAGATGTACAAGATTGAGTTTCTTTTATGGATGGAAATGCATTATATAAATTGTTAGTTATATTAACCTTTGGTCACCTGTTCTCCTTGGTTTATAGAGGGAAATAACACTTCTGACTATATCTTGTCCATTTGCAGCAAAACATAATTTAAAACTTGGTTGGAATAGTTATAATGAAATTGAAATGAAATACTGTAGTATCAGAAAGTAAGATCCAGACCTATCCCAGGGGTTGGCAAAAGAGGAAAATCGGCCAAGTGACAATAGACATTAATATTTTTTCAATAGCAAAATAATTTATTTGAATAGTGTTTAAAGTTCTATTCCTTTGGTGACATGACAAGTATTGTATTTCACTTTGTTTACATGTTGATTTCCACATCACATCTCAACAATGAAATTGAGCCACCAGTACCTATAATATATCTCTGGTGACCGCTTGTGTTACTTTTACCTGAGTGATAACTGATGTGCACTTGTTTTTCAATTTCATTACCCCTTGACCGTCCATTTTCGCCTGGGGAGGGGGTTAATAAGTTTACTTTAGTTTATATAGGGAAATATCACTTTGGGGTACATTTTGTCCATTTTCAGCAGGGAGTTATTCACACTTGGTCGGAATGATTATGATGCTAGATAGCAGTTAGATGGTATGAGAAAATAAGATCTTGTCCCATCCGCAGGGGCTGGAGGGCTGGGGCCCAAATGGGGAAATGGTTAAAAGTTAAAAAAATCTTCTTCATCAGACTCAGATGTTTACAATCAAATACTCTTCATGGATAGAAAGGTTCTTAGGTGCTTTATGAAAAGTTTCTTGTTACACAACCAGTAAGTGTTTGTTTCTATGTAACAACATAATTTAAAACTTGGTTGGAATAGTTATAATGAAATTGAAATGAAATACTGTAGTATCAGAAAGTAAGATCCAGACCTATCCCAGGGGTTGGCAAAAGAGGAAAATCGGCCAAGTGACAATAGACATTAATATTTTTTCAATAGCAAAATAATTTATTTGAATAGTGTTTAAAGTTCTATTCCTTTGGTGACATGACAAGTATTGTATTTCACTTTGTTTACATGTTGATTTCCACATCACATCTCAACAATGAAATTGAGCCACCAGTACCTATAATATATCTCTGGTGACCGCTTGTGTTACTTTTACCTGAGTGATAACTGATGTGTACTTGTTTCACTGCTTTCTGAGTGAGTATATCTACAATTACGTTTGTATGTTTCAGTGTACCACCATATAAGTACCTATGACTACATAGTTAAACAACGGGAGAATGATGGGGGTAAAAAACCTGGAACAGACAAAGTCCAGAATAAAACAAAGCGGGTAAGTTATGTCTGCTCTCTGAGTGAGTTTTAAAGTAACCCTACTAAAATGTTCTGTGTCTGAACCCATATATTATATACTGTCTGTAAGGCTGCAAAGGACTGTACACATAGTGTCTGAACCTGTCTCTAAGGTTAGTAACATATAGTGTCTAAACCTGTCTCTATGGTTAGTAACACATAGTGTCTAAACCTGTCTCTAAGGTTAGTAATACATAGTGTCTAAACCTGTCTCTAAGGTTAGTAACACATAGTGTCTTAACCTGTCTCTAAGGTAAGTAACACATAGTGTCTTAATCTGTCTCTAAGGTTAGTAACACAGTGTCTAAACCTGTCTCTAAGGTTAGTAACATTGGAGATAAACCTGTCTCTAAGGTTAGTAACACATAGTGTCTAAACCTGTCTCTCAGGTAAGTAACATATAGTGTCTAAACCTGTCTCTAAGATAAGTAACTTTGGAGATAAACCTTTCTCTAAGGTTAGTAACATTGGAAAAAAAAACTTTCTCTAAGGTTAGTAACATTGGAGAAAAACCTGTCTCTAAGGTTAGTAACATTGGAGATAAACCTGTCTCTAAGGTTAGTAACATTGGAGATAAACCTGTTTCTAAGGTTAGTAACATTGGAGATAAACCTTTCTCTATGGTTAGTAACATTGGAGATAAGCCTGTCTCTAAGGTTGGTAACATTGGAGAAAAACCTTTCTCTAAGGTTAGTTACATTGGAGAAAAAACTTTCTCTAAGGTTAGTAACATTGCAGAAAAACCTGTCTCTAAGGTTAGTAACATTGGAGATAAACCTGTCTCTAAGGTTAGTAACATTGGAGATAAACCTGTCTCTAAGGTTAGTAACATATAGTGTCTAAACCTGTCTCTTATGTTAGTAACATTGTAGAAAAACCATTGGAGGAACTCCTGATACAGGATTGACTAGGAATTCCTGATACAGGATTGACTAGGAATTCCTGATACAGGATTGACTAGGAATTCCTGATACAGGATTGACTAGGAGTTCCTGATACAGGATTGACTAGGAGTTCCTGATACAGGATTAACTAGGAATTTCTGATACAGTATTGACTTAGATTTCCTGATATAATATTGACTAGGAATTCCTGATACAGGATTGACTAGGAATTTCTGATACAGGATTGACTAGGAATTTCTGAAACTGGATTGACTAGGAATTTCTGAAACTAGATTGACTAGGAATTTCTGATACAGGATTGACTAGGAATTTCTGAAACTGGATTGACTAGGAATTTCTGAAACTGGATTGACTAGGAATTTCTGTCACAGGATTGACTAGGAATTCCTGATGCAGGATTGACTAGGAATTCCTGATACAGGATTGACTAGGAATTTCTGAAACTGGATTGACTAGGAATGTCTGAAACTGGATTGACTAGGAATTTCTGAAACTGGATTGACTAGGAATTTCTGAAACTGGATTGACTAGGAATGTCTGAAACTGGATTGACTAGGAATTTCTGATACAGGATTGAATAGAAATTCCTGATACAGGATTGACTAGGAATTCCTGATACAGGATTGACTCGGAATTCCTGATACATGATTGACTAGGAATTTCTGATACAGTATTGACTAGGAATTCCTGATAAAGGATTGACAAGGAATTCCTGATACAGGATTGACTAGGAATTTCTGATACAGGATTGACTAGGAATTCCTGATAAAGGATTGACAAGGAATTCCTGATACAGGATTGACTAAGAATTCCTGATACAGGATTGACTAGGAATTCCTGATGCAGGATTGACTCGGAATTCCTGATACATGATTGACTAGGAATTTCTGATACAGGATTGACTAGGAATTCCTGATACATGATTGACTAGGAATTTCTGATACAGGATTGAATAGGAATTCCTGATACAGGATTGACTAGGAATTCCTGATACATGATTGACTAGGAATTTCTGATACAGGATTGACTAGGAATTTCTGAAACTGGATTGACTAGGAATTTCTGAAACTGGATTGACTAGGAATTTCTGAAACTGGATTGACTAGGAATTTCTGAAACTGGATTGACTAGGAATTTCTGAAACTGGACTGACAAGGAATTCCTGATACAGGATTGACTAGGAATCTCTGATACAGGATTGACTAGGAGTTCCTGATACAGGATTGACTAGGAATTTCTGAAACTGGATTGACTAGGAATTTCTGAAACTGGATTGACTAGGAATTTCTGAAACTGGATTGACTAGGAATTTCTGAAACTGGACTGACAAGGAATTCCTGATACAGGATTGACTAGGAATTTCTGATACAGGATTGACTAGGAATTTCTGAAACTGGATTGACTAGGAATTTCTGAAACTGGACTGACAAGGAATTCCTGATACAGGATTGACTAGGAATTTCTGATACAGTATTGACTAGGAATTCCTGATAAAGGATTGACAAGGAATTCCTGATACAGGATTGACTAAGAATTCCTGATACAGTATTGACTGGGAATTCCTGATACAGGATTGACTAGGAATTCCTGATGCAGGATTGACTAGGAATTTCTGAAACTGGATTGACTAGGAATTTCTGAAACTGGATTGACTAGGAATTTCTGAAACTGGACTGACAAGGAATTCCTGATACAGGATTGACTAGGAGTTCCTGATACAGGATTAACTAGGAATTTCTGTCACAGGATTGACTCGGAATTCCTGATGCAGGATTGACTAGGAATTTCTGAAACTGGATTGACTAGGAATTTCTGAAACTGGATTGACAAGGAATTCCTGATACAGGATTGACTAGGAATTCCTGATACAGGATTGACTAGGAATTCCTGATGCAGGATTGACTAGGAATTCCTGATACAGGATTGACTAGGAATTCCTGATACAGGATTGACAAGGAATTCCTGATACATGATTGACTAGGAATTCCTGATAATAGGATTGACTAGGAATTCCTGATACAGGATTGACTAGGAATTTCCTGATACAGGATTGACTAGGAATTTCTGATGCAGGATTGACTAGGAATTCCTGATACAGGATTGACAAGGAATTCCTGATACAAGGTTGACTAGGAATTTCTGATACAGGATTGACTAGGAATTCCTGATACATGATTGACTAGGAATTTCTGATACATGATTGACTAGGAATTTCTGATACAGGATTGACTAGGAATTTCTGATACAGGATTAACTAGGAATTTCTTATACAGAATTGACTAGGAATTCCTGATACAGGATTGACTAGGAATTCCTGATACATGATTGACTAGGAATTTCTGATATAGGATTAACTAGGAATTTCTGATACAGGATTGACTAGGAATTTCTGAAACTGGATTGACTAGGAATTTCTGATACAGGATTAACTAGGAATTTCTGATACAGGATTGACTAGGAATTCCTGATACATGATTGACTAGGAATTCCTGATACAGGATTGACTAGGAATTTCTGATACAGGATTGACTAGGAATTTCTGATACAGAAATAACCGTATAGCAAAGCTAATGAGTCAACATGTATGTTTCAGATAAACAAAGTTGTTCCCAGTAAACAAAGACAAAGCATAAGAATGATGAGTTCCTCATCCCCTACCAAGTTGTAAGTATTGAGGCCAGAGGATTAAATCCATCAGTGGCCAGTGATTAAATCCATCAGTGGCCAGTGATTAAATCCATCAGTGGCCAGTGATTAAATCCATCAGTGGCCAGTGATTAAATCCATCAGTGGCCAGTGATTAAATCCATCAGTGGCCAGTGATTAAATCCATCAGTGGCCAGTGATTAAATCCATCAGTGGCCAGTGATTAAATCCATCAGTGGCCAGTGATTAAATCCATCAGTGGCCAGTGATTAAATCCATCAGTGGCCAGTATATCTGAATCCCTTACTTAACACATACTAACACACAAATATTGATTCATCTTTTTTAAATCTCTGCTGTACAATTTTGAGAAATTACCAAATAAACACGCAAAATGTATATTTTGTAGAAAATAAATCTGATTTCTTGTACCCAGTTTGAATATGAATTCCTAAATTCAAATAAAGATGTTATAAACGCTGTTTTCATTACTGGGGATGAATTGTCCAACTATTCTGATGTTACTTCTCAAATCTTTTTATCTTCCATTATGTTAGAGCAACAACCACTCTTCATGATACTACATAGTAACTTACCTACCTATACCAACTCACCCACCCTCTGTGTAAGCCTCCCTGTCCATCCCCCTATACCAACACCCCCTGTGTTAGCTTCCCTGTTCATCCCCCTATACCAACTCCCCCCCCCACTGTGAGAGCTACCCTGTCCATCCCCCTATACCAACTCACCCACCCACCGCGTTAGCCTCCCTGTCCATCCCCCTATACCAACTCCCCCCCCCACTGTGTAAGCCTCCCTGTCCATCCCCCTATACCAACTCACCCACCCACTGTGTTAGCCTCCCTGTCCATCCCCCTATACCAACACCCCCTGTGTTAGCCTCCCTGTTCATCCCCCTATACCAACTCACCCACCCTCTGTGTAAGCCTCCCTGTCCATCCCCCTATACCAACTCACCCACACCCTGTGTACGCATCCCTGTCCATCCCCTTATACCAACTCACCCTGTGTTAGCCTCCCTGTCCAACCGCCTATACCAACTCACCCACCCCCTGTGTTAGCCTTCCTGTCCATCCCCCTATACCAACTCACCCCCCCCCCGTGTAAGCCTCCCTGTCCATCCCCCCATACCAACTCACCCTGTGTTAGCCTCCCTGTCCAACCGCCTATACCAACTCACCCACCCCCTGTGTAAGCCTCTCTGTTCATCCCCCTATACCAACTCACCCACACCCTGCGTATGCGTCCCTGTCCATCCCCCTATACCAACACCCCCTGTGTTAGCTTCCCTGTTCATCCCCCTATACCAACTCACCCACACCCTCTGTAAGCCTCCCTGTCCCTCCCCCCATACCAACTCACCCTGTGTTAGCCTCCCTGTCCAACCGCCTATACCAACTCACCCACCCCCTGTGTACGCCTCCCTGTTCATCCCCCTATACCAACTCACCCACACCCTGTGTATGCCTCCCTGTCCATCCCCCTATACCAGCTCACCCTGTGTTAGCCTCCCTGTCCAACCGCCTATACCAACTCACCCACCCCCTGTGTCAGCCTCCCTGTCCATCCCCCTATACCAGCTCACCCTGTGTTAGCCTCCGTGTCCATCCCCCGTTACTTCTCAAATCTTTTTATCTTCCATTATGTTAGAGCAACAACCACTCTTCATGATACTACATAGTAACTTACCTACCTATACCAACTCACCCACCCTCTGTGTTAGCCTCCCTGTCCATCCCCCTATCCCAACTCACCCACCCCCTGTGTAAGCCTTCCTGTCCATCCCCCTATACCAACTCACCCACACCCTGTGTTTGCATCCCTGTCCATCCCCTTATACAACACACCCTGTGTTAACCTCCCTGTCCATCCCCCTATACCAGCTCACCCTGTGTTAGCCTCCCTGTCCATACCCCTATACCAGCTCACCCTGTGTTAGCCTCCCTGTCCATACCCCTATACCAGCTCACCCTGTGTTAGCCTCCCTGTCCAACCGCCTATACCAACTCACCCACCCCCTGTGTAAGCCTCTCTGTTCATCCCCCTATACCAACTCACCCACACCCTGCGTATGCGTCCCTGTCCATCCCCCTATACCAACACCCCCTGTGTTAGCTTCCCTGTTCATCCCCCTATACCAACTCCCCCCCCCCCTGTGTTAGCCTTCCTGTCCATCCCCCTATACCAACTCACCCACACCCTGTGTATGCATCCCTGTCCATCCCCTAATACCAACTCACCCTGTGTTAGCCTCCCTGTCCATACCCCTATACCAGCTCACCCTGTGTTAGCTTCCCTGTCCATCCCCCTATACCAACACCCCCTGTGTTAGCTTCCCTGTTCATCCCCCTATACCAACTCACCCACCCACCGTGTTAGCCTCCCTGTCCATCCCCCTATCCCAACTCACCCACCCCCTGTGTAAGCCTTCCTGTCCATCCCCCTATACCAACTCACCCTGTGTTCGCCTCCCTGTCCATCCACCTATACCAGCTCACCCTGTGTAAGCCTCCCTGTCCATCCCCCTATACCAACACCCCCTGTGTTAGCCTCCCTGTTCATCCCCCTATACCAACTCACCCACACCCTGTGTATGCATCCCTGTCCATCCCCTTATACCAACTCACCCTGTGTTAGCCTCCCTGTCCATCCCCCTATACCAACTCACCCACACCCTGTGTTAGCCTTCCTGTCCATCCCCCTATACCCGCTCACCCTGTGTTAGCTTCCCTGTCCATCCCCCTATCCCAACTCACCCACCCCCTGTGTACGCCTCCCTGTTCATCCCCCTATACCAACTCACCCACACCCTGTGTTAGCCTTCCTGTCCATCCCCCTATACCAGCTCACCCTGTGTTAGCCTCCCTGTCCATCCCCCTATACCAACTCACCCACACCCTGTGTTAGCCTCCCTGTCCATCCCCCTATACTAATTTGCCCTGTGTTACCTCTCCAGTGTTACACTTCACCTTCAACTCCCATGTTACCTTGATACTATCCCAGTTCAAATGTACATTTCTGTGTTGTGTTGTGGTACTTGTACAGGAATGATGCCAAGGAAAAGAGTGAACTCAGCTTGTACCACCAGAAGTCAGAGGAAGATGGCCGCCGGACAGAGGGCGAGACCCCACCCCCATCCTCCAGTCCAATACATCAGAAGGTGACGACACATACAGAGACTAACAACAACGTAAGTGCTGTTACGACCGCTGCTCAGTCACGTGACTGACATGATGTTATCTGTTTAACAACATTAAAGAAACTATATAAACCAGGTTGTCTGGATTGAAAGCTTGTTAATGCAAAGATTTAGGAATTCTGCTTGTAAGGCATCTCTCAATTATTTTTAAAATGATAAATAATAGCTTAAACTAAAATCTTATGATATTATAAACCTATATGAGATATTTAGATCAGTATTGAGTGTATAAAGAGTAAGTAGATGGTATAGTAACAGTTGGATGTGTTTCTTGTTGACAGAAAGAAGGAAGACTTCCAGAACAGAACAGAAATCCTAATGATGATTTAACAGCATTAAGAAAAATTAAAAAGAGAAAAAAGAAAAATTACAAAATGAATTCCAATTATGAAATATCTGAAACAGATATGATTTCTACCATAGGTAAGTGTTCTCAAGTAAAAGTAATCTTTGTCGTCTAACAGAGACAAAATTGATATAACAGTGAACAGAAATAGGTATTAGGCTATGATACTATGCTGAGCTTCTAAGCTTCAATATAATGCAAATTTTCAGACATGGGGTGAAAACATAATATTTCACATTGAAATAATTGATTTTTTTCAGATTAGGATTTGTCTTAGTAAGAACAATTTTGTCTGTTTTTAAAGAGGAATTGACACTGGTGTAACAGCCACTTCTTTCCCCCTGCTGAAAGTTTTCCTGGGGAAAGAATCAGCTAGCCTATTTCTTCCCTGGGGAAAAAAATCAGCTAGTCGATTTTTTCCCCCGGGAAAACCATCAGATGGGGAAAGAAATGACTTCTACACCGGTACTATCCATTGCCACATACTTTTTAGTGATGGAGAGTAAAGTGCACTTTATTTGTTGCAGATAACCCATCAATGTACAAAGCACAGGGTTTCACTGCAAGCCTGGAGTTACCAGTATCCAGCCCCATCAAAATCACCCCACCCCCACCTCAACTCACACCTGTCAATGGTGCGGGTCCCCCGGCGGAGTACCACTCTGACTCCGCTGAGAGCCTGGCCGAGGTTGTACCCAATCTGGCTAGTAGCATCAACTCCTCACTTAGAAACTCTTTCCAGGTACAACCTGGGGACCACAGTAGTGCCATTCACAGTTCTAGTGCCAGTCCAGGAAAGAATAGTAGAAAAAGTAGTAAAAGGAGAAGAAAAAAGAAAAAGGAAGAAGAAGAAAAACAAGTAGATTTAAATTCTACCATGCTTTTCCAGTTAAATTCTTCAGCAAAACAAAACCCAGATGGAACCCTTGACTACACTGATGGGTTCAGGAAACTGCCCTTGACCCCAATCTCACTGAGGAAGAATGGGACTTCTGAGGAGTTGAGGCGTCCTAGTGCTGTGCCTCCCCTAGACCTGGGGCCACTCAGGGGAAGTAGTGAAAGTGTGTCCTTTCAACCAATCAGCTCACTCAGGTCATCAGACACCTACCGCACATCACGTCTACTGGGGAGTCTACCAGAACAACGACCCTTCGTAGACACTGAGGTCTAGTTACTCCCAGCTGAAGTAGAGTTGTGTTTTCATTCTTAACAAACAAGGCCTCTGGGAAGTTAAACTCTGTGTAATGTTGGAGAACACGATGAATGGTTGGAGAGACCGATCTGTCAGTCACCTTCGTCAGTAATTAGAGTTTGTTTCATTGTTTTTAAATCATTCATATTTCATGCCTACTTCACACATTTCTTCCTGTTAAACCTTAGGATTGTAATTAATTTGCAGCAGCAATAACAGCTGATTTTTGTTTCATCATACTCTGACAAGAAAAGGGTTGAGACATCTTACCCATAGCAAAGTATGAGTGGTTTATAGTTCTAACACCTGGTCCTAGGCCAATTTTGGTGGTTTTAAATTTTATCAAAAGCAAATAGAAGATTTTGATACATGTACTATGAAAACTACATTGGAAAATTTCAATTTTATCTTCGATTTTATGGAGTGTTAAGTTTTAAGTAAGATGTCAGATTTGTTTTCCTCAACAGCTCCTCTTTTAAACATTTTCATCATACATTGTGTCTATGTGATAAGTATTATTCAAACTTACGCCACATGTGACTGGAGGTTTGTACAGCAGTAGGTGCTAGCTGTGTGGGACACGTACAGATATATAGTTGTAGGTTATGTGAGTTTTATACGGTCATCTTCTACAAATAACCTCTGATCATTAGTCTTGTTATATTGTTGAGTTATTTTTGTTACTCTCAACATTTTATATATTATTGTTTAAACTTATAATAATGTAATTTATTTGAAAAGCATTCCATATACTGGCATGTTGATTGATACCCTGTACGTTTCAGTGAGTGTAAGAACAACCCATTTTATTGTATAACAACCTGATCGGTACAACTATCTCAGAAACACCCCACCTGATGGGTGATCGGTACAACTATCTCAGAAACACCCCACCTGATGGGTGATCGGTACAACTATCTCAGAAACACCCCACCTGATGGGTGATCGGTACAACTATCTCAGAAACACCCCACCTGATGGGTGATCGGTACAACTATCTCAGAAACACCCCACCTGATGGGTGATCGGTACAACTATCTCAGAAACACCCCACCTGATGGGTGATCGGTACAACTATCTCAGAAACACCCCACCTGATGGGTGATCGGTACAACTATCTCAGAAACACCCCACCTGATGGGTGATCGGTACAACTATCTCAGAAACACCCCACCTGATGGGTGATCGGTACAACTATCTCAGAAACACCCCACCTGATGGGTGATCGGTACAACTATCTCAGAAACACCCCACCTGATGGGTGATCGGTACAACTATCTCAGAAACACCCCACCTGATGGGTGATCGGTACAACTATCTCAGAAACACCCCACCTGATGGGTGATCGGTACAACTATCTCAGAAACACCCCACCTGATGGGTGATCGGTACAACTATCTCAGAAACACCCCACCTGATGGGTGATCGGTACAACTATCTCAGAAACACCCCACCTGATGGGTGATCGGTACAACTATCTCAGAAACACCCCACCTGATGGGTGATCGGTACAACTATCTCAGAAACACCCCACCTGATGGGTGATCGGTACAACTATCTCAGAAACACCCCACCTGATGGGTGATCGGTACAACTATCTCAGAAACACCCCACCTGATGGGTGATCGGTACAACTATCTCAGAAACACCCCACCTGATGGGTGATCGGTACAACTATCTCAGAAACACCCCACCTGATGGGTGATCGGTACAACTATCTCAGAAACACCCCACCTGATGGGTGATCGGTACAACTATCTCAGAAACACCCCACGTGATGGGTGATCGGTACCACTATCTCAGAAAAACAACACGTGATGGGTGATCAGTACAACTATCTCAGAAACACCCCACGTGATGGGTGATCGGTACAACTATCTCAGAAACACCCCACCTGATGGGTGATCGGTACAACTATCTCAGAAACACCCCACCTGATGGGTGATCGATACAACTATCTCAGAAACACCCCACGTGATGGGTGAGCTCCATGTTTGATATATTTCGTTATATTATGTTTGTTCCCACTATTTGGGCGTTGTTATACTTAGTATGTCCTAGTATTCTCAGTGGATGAAAACATTAGTTTTACTAATACGAAACAAAACTATGATATTTCAGGGTGGTAAAAATGCTTTGTGATAGTTTATTTATATGTTAACAGTGTGTATAAACTGATTGATTCATGCTTTCTGCTGCTAAACAATCCAAGTGATAATTCAATGTTTGTGATGTGTCTGGTGCCACACGGCTCGTATTCTAGCTAGCCGCTTTGTTAATTATTTATTATAATCGTTAAAATCTATTGTATTCTAGCATGTTATCTGTTTTTGTCTTTGTCATAGAACTTGAACATTGCATTCCTTATCAATCTTATACCTATACATTTACATGTACAAAGACATTAATTTTTCTATTAATGTGATTTATAGTGTCATTCCAACAGTATTCTCTATCTACATTCCTCAGCCTGATGTGTACAGTAAAACATGCCCTTTACTCACTGTACACACCCATCCCCAATCCCCTAATGGTATATCTGCTAAGGTAAGAAACGGGTTCAGTTTAGTGAATAGACTTTTTTTCATGTGGATTTAACCAGTTTTTCATCCTCATGAAATGAAAAATTAATTCACTTGATCAAAGTGAAACTTAATTGTAATAATTGTAATCATATCTGGCCCCCTATGACTGGGATATTACAGGGCTGACCTGTACTTAAGTTTCCTTGCCTGTGTTTGGGTCCCCAGTGACTGGGACAGTACAAGGCTGACCTGTGTTTTGGTACATATTGACTGGGACATTACAAGGCTGGCCTGTGTTTTGGTCCCCAGTGACTAGGACAGGACAAGGCTGACCTGGGTTTTGGTACACGTTGACTGGGACATTACAAGGCTGGCCTGTGTTATGGTACATGTTTACTGGGACATTACAAGGCTGACCTGTGTTTTGGTACATGTTGACTGGGACATTACAAGGCTGACATGTGTTTTGGTACACGTTGACTGGGACAGTACAAGGATGACCTGGGTTTTGGTACACGTTGACTGGGACATTACAAGGCTGACCTGTGTTTTGGTACATATTGACTGGGAAATTACAAGGCTGACCTGTGTTTTGGTACCCGTTGACTGGGACAGTACAAGGCTGACCTGTGTTTTGGTACACATTGACTGGGACATTACAAGGCTGACCTGTGTTTGGGTCCCCAGTGACTGGGACAGTACAAGGCTGACCTGTGTTTTGGTCCATCTTGACTGGGACATTACAAGGCTGACCTGTGTTTGGGTCCCCAGTGACTGGGACAGTACAAGGCTGACCTGTGTTTTTGTACACGTTGACTGGGACATTACAAGGCTGGCCTGTGTTTTGGTACATGTTGACTGGGACATTACAAGGCTGGCCTGTGTTTTGGTACATGTTGACTGGGACATTACAAGGCTGACATGTGTTTTGGTACACGTTGACTGGGACAGTACAAGGGTGACCTGTGTTTTGGTACACGTTGACTGGGACATTACAAGACTGGCCTGTGTTTGGGTCCCCAGTGACTAGGACAGGACAAGGCTGAACTGTGTTTTGGTACACGTTGACTGGGACAGTACAAGGCTGAACTGTGTTTTGGTACACGTTGACTGGGACATTACAAGGCTGTCCTGTGTTTTGGTACACGTTGTCTGGGACATTACAAGGCTGGCCTGTGTTTTGGTACATGTTGACTGGGACATTACAAGGCTGACATGTGTTTTGGTACACGTTGACTGGGACAGTACAAGGCTGAACTGTGTTTTGGTACACGTTGACTGGGACATTACAAGACTGGCCTGTGTTTGGGTCCCCAGTGACTAGGACAGGACAAGGCTGACCTGGGTTTTGGTACACGTTGACTGGGACATTACAAGGCTGGCCTGTGTTTGGGTCCCCAGTGACTAGGACAGGACAAGGCTGACCTGTGTTTTGGTACACGTTGACTGGGACATTACAAGGCTGGCCTGTGTTATGGTACATGTTTACTGGGACATTACAAGGCTGACCTGTGTTTTGGTACACGTTGACTGGGACAGGACAAGGCTGACCTGTGTTTTGGTACACGTTGCCTGGGACATTACAAGGCTGACCTGTGTTTTGGTACACGCTGACTGGGACATTACAAGGCTGGCCTGTGTTTGGGTCCTCAGTGACTAGGACAGGACAAGGCTGACCTGTGTTTTGGTACACGTTGAGTGGGACATTACAAGGCTGGCCTGTGTTATGGTACATGTTTACTGGGACATTAAAAGGCTGACCTGTGTTTTGGTACATATTGACTGGGACAGTACAAGGCTGGCCTGTGTTTTGGTACATATTGACTGGGACATTACAAGGCTGACCTGTGTTTTGGTCCATATTGACTGGGACATTACAAGGCTGACCTGTGTTTTGGTACATATTGACTGGGACAGTACAAGGCTGACCTGTGTTTTGGTACACGTTGTCTGGGACATTACAAGGCTGGCCTGTGTTTTGGTACATATTGACTGTGACATTACAAGGCTGACCTGTGTTTTGGTACACATTGACTGGGACAGTACAAGGCTGGCCTGTGTTTTGGCACACGTTGACTGGGACATTACAAGGCTGGCATGTGTTTTGGTACACGTTGACTGGGACAGTACAAGGCTGGCCTGTGTTTTGGTACATGTTGACTGGGACATTACAAGGCTGACCTGTGTTTTTGTACATATTGACTTCGACATTACAAGGCTGACCTGTGTTTTGCTACACGTTGACTGGGACATTACAAGGCTGGCCTGTGTTTTGGTACACATTGACTAGGACAGTACAAGGCTGACCTGTGTTTTGGTACACGTTGACTGGGACAGTACAAGGTTGACCTGTGTTTTGGTACACGTTGACTGGGACATTACAAGGCTGACCTGTGTTTTGGTACACGTTGACTGGGACATTACAAGGCTGGCCTGTGTTTTGGTACACGTTGACTGGGACAGTACAAGGCTGACCTGTGTTTTGGTACACGTTGACAGAGACATTACGAGATGGCTTGTTCGTCTGTCCCCGGTGCTTCATTATCATATATGTTTTACTGTAGACCACTTACGTGATTGTTATCCTGTATCAAAATCCATAGATGTCATTTATAAGTCTTCTATTTTGAATCATTTTATTTTTGTGAATTCATTTTTTTACAATAGTTGTTTAGTGGAAAACTAATAACTCGGTGACCAAGGTAATATTTGTATTTCTATTGAAAAACGTTTTATAATGCTTTGATGTTTTGGATGATTCAGTCTGTAAACAACATTAGTCAGCATCTGTCTCTTTATGATCATTATAACATGCTCTGGCCATCGTTAATCCTCGAGTCTGCTGTAAAACCTATAGCCCCAACACCCGCTATCATCTCTTGACGGCACAAATCTAGTCACATTATAACTTACAGCAATAACTAATGTCCAGTCTCAAGCTTCGACACGTTTCTCACATTTATTATGTAACATTTTGAAATGATTTTGCTTCTTTAATTATAGTAAGCTCATGGGAAATGTTTATGTAATGATATCAGCCATGTATAGTGTAGTTGTTCTTTCAGCAAGTTTATTTATTGAGAAAGTGTATCTTTCAATCTATAATAGTGACTTTGTGATGATTTATAGATTGTCTGGTCAAAGTTTTACATGTGTGTAAAATTCTGTCGTTGGTCGGAAATATTGAACTGATTCTATTGGTGCCCAGTTCATTTAATTCATTCCATCAGCTTATTGAAAGTTCAGAGATTTCCTTGCATTGCCTCACGTACGCAAAAAAAAAAGATAATTTATTTTGTGTAGGGTGGTGTTGTCTGTAGATGGTTGGGGAGGTTGGAGTTGAACCGTAGCTGCAGGGCCGTAGGAGTAGGGGCATTTTACACTGTATTTATGTTGTATCATTTCACACTGTATTTATTTTGTTTTATGTTGTATCATTTTACACTGTATTTATGTTGCATCATTTTACACTGTATTTATGTTGTATCATTTTACACTGTAATTATGTTGTATCATTTTACACTGTATTTATGTTGCATCATTTTACACTGTATTTATGTTGTATCATTCACACTGTATTTATGTTGTATCATTTTACACTGTAATTATGTTGTATCATTTTACACTGTATTTATGTTGCATCATTTTACACTGTATTTATGTTGTATCATTTTACACTGTAATTATGTTGTATCATTTTACACTGTATTTATGTTGTTTTATGTTGTATCCTTTCACACTGTATTTATGTTGTTTTATGTTGTATCATTTCACACTGTCTTTATGTTGTTTTATGTTGTATCATTTCACACTCTATTTATGTTGTTTTATGTTGTATCATTTCACACTCTATTTATGTTGTTTTATGTTGTATCATTTCACACTCTATTTATGTTGTTTTATGTTGTATCATTTCACACTCTATTTATGTTGTTTTATGTTGTATCATTTCACACTGTATTTATGTTGTTTTATGTTGTATCCTTTCACACTGTATTTATGTTGTTTTATGTTGTATCATTTTACACTGTATTTATGTTGTATCATTTCACACTGTATTTATGTTGTATCATTTCACACTGTATTTATGTTGTATCATTTCACACTGTATTTATGTTGTTTTATGTTGTATCATTTCACACTGTATTTATGTTGTTTTATGTTGTATCATTTCACACTGATTTATGTTGTTTTATGTTATATCATTTTAACACTAATGTAATATGGCAATTACACTCTATTATAAATTGATTGTGTTTAATATTTGATTTTACAATAGATGCCGTCCAATTATTAATGTGATATTTTGCAAAGCTCAATTACGTGTTTCCTTGATTAAATTATTTATGTTAAATTGAAATAATTTTAAGCCTTTTCTGTCTCTCTGGGTTAGATATATCCATGTGCGTCTTGCCAAGATCTCTGGGTTAGATGTATCTACTTGCATCTTGCCTGTATCTTTCGGTAAGACGTATCCTTATATGTCCTAGATATATCTGGTTTTAGACATTTGTGTTCACATTGATGGGATCCTCCTCAGCAGTGTGAAGTCTATGTGGTGTGAAAGACTGGCTAGCTCATAGTCCTGTAGTCTTAAGTTCTTTGTGTAGTTCTGTGGATGATCTACTGTAGTTCAGACGTTTGTAGGAAAATGATCTTCAAATATTTCACACCAATTTAATATTTATATTTAATGCATTTCACCCCTATGTAGCTTTAGTAGACTCTACCATTCATTTATCTGGATAAGTCCATCATGGTCTACAGTGGTGAAAGGGTTAATGCATTTCACTTTGATCTGATGCAGTTTTATTTTGTAATCTGCCAGACTAATAACCAGACTATTGTTCATAAAAACAAAGTTTCTACAGGGAACATACGCTAACATATAGTAACAGTCACTCTACGTCTTAGCTTTGGACTTAGCACATCAAATATGGATTTAGGGCGAGAACCATTCAATCCCTGATGAAGGGCTAAGCCAGAAAGCTTGGACGTAGAGTGACTGTTGCCATGTATAGTATTAACCACTTACTGGAAAGGTTAACTCATTATTTATTCTAGTAGAAATCTCATTCTAGAGATTTACCAACAGTTATTTATTCTAGAAGAAATCTCATTCTAGGGATTTACCAACATCAGTTTTGAACAACAGCTTAAAAGTAATGACAGGTGTTTTACATGTGTTGAGCTTCAGTAACAAGATAGGATTTGACACAGTCGGCACTTTAAACTTGTACTGCAGACACAATTTGTTACAATAATTTTGTAGTTAGTATTATTTCATCACTTATTGCATAATAATATAGGCAGTACAAACATTAAAGTAACAAGAATTCATGCTTATAGGAACACAATCTACAGCCTGAGAATCCTTAATGCCAATGATTGATTGATGGACCAGAATGTTGCTTTCACCTTAAAATGACCTTTATATGTGTGGTAGTCGTGTTAAACACGAACATGTGTTATTTTTTACTGTGATGTTGACACCTCCCATCTAATCTTTGAGGTTGTGTTGTTGTTTATGACGTTTACTGTTGATACTTTGATGTTGCATGCTGTTGACACTTAAAGAATTCCTAGACATGTTTTATTGATGACCCACCATTCCATATACATCTGCAAGTATAATAAAATATTTGATAGATATTAAAATCATGTTCCATTGATCTGTTCTTTTTTCCTCGTTTCTTACCAAGTTACCAGGTGTATGTATCTTATAAGGATCTTAATTGTTTGGTAAAATATGCTAGTTAATCACACAACAGAAAGATGTTAAAGATATCGCTGATTTACCGGTAATTGATAGATTAATGAAGGAACCACATCACTAGAAGTCTGGTGTTTTCTACAATGATTCAAGTGGGTTGTAAGTCAAATAATATCATTGATTTAAAGATGTATGTATATGCCACCTTAGTTAACATAAAGATACATGTACCACCTTATAATTACTGACATTAAGATATGTGCTATGTGACTGACATTAAGATATATGCTATCTGACTGACCTTAAGATATATGCTATCTGACTGACATTAAGATATCTGCTATCTTACTGTCAGTAAAGATATGTGCTATCTTACTGTCAGTAAAGATATGTGCTATCTTACTCTCAGTAAAAATATATGCTATCTTACTGTCAGTAAAGATATATGCTATCTGACTGACATTAAGATATATGCTATCTGACTGACCTTAAGATATATGCTATCTGACTGAAATTAAGATATATGCTATCTGACTGACATTTATTGTATGCCACTTTACTGACATTAATATATACGCCACCTTACCATTTTTTTCCGCGCGTAAGCACAAAACAACAATAAGACTGAACAATCAGATAACGGACTTTAATTTGGTAAGTTGGTAATGGTATCACAATCCCTCATTTAAAGTGAATGACAAAATATATGGGGGTACACCCAAATTTTTCACCAGTAAAAATCTATAAAAAGATTAACAAATACATATAAATCATCACAAATTCAATCTACTCATTAATTTACATAAGTGTATAGTTCAGACTTTCACATCCTAGACATCAACTAGAAATTTGTTTTTGTGAACAAAAACATATGTCTCTCCTTATTAGACAATGTGCATATTTAGGAGAATAGAAAGGTCACATCAAGATTAATGAGTGTAAATTCTAAACCATTATACTTTTTATTTATTCTGGTTCATGTTAGATTGTCTTAACAATTTTGGTTAAGTTTCGGCAGCTATGGTACTATAGACACATTTACATGCATATAAAAATAGGAATTATCACACATCTGATTACAATCTGGTTCCTCTATTGGCTCATTATTTTTTATAGCAAGTTTGGTCAATGTAGGAGAAATAACATGAAACTTATGCTGCAGACAAACTTTGGTATAAAAATTAATAAAGGGCCATATCTCTTTATACTTGTATAGGGGGGCACAAGACCCAATTTTAGAATGCGACACTCCTACTTCCCAAGATACATTACTATAGTAAGTTGGTCAATGTAGGTGAAATAACATGGAACTTGTGCTCCGGACAAACTTCGGTATTAAAAATAAACAAAGGGCCATAACTCTGTATATAGTGGAGCACGAGACCCAATTTCAGTGTGAGAGATTCCGCCTTCCCAAGATACATAATTATGGTAAGTTTGGTCAACGTTGGTGAAATAACATGGAACTTTTGTTCCGGACAAACT